CCACAAAACCAACCATCTTTTATTGAATGCCCACTCTGCTAGATACCTGTTTATAACAATAAACAAGACAGATGGAGTCCCTGTTGTCATAGAGTTTACAATCTAACAGTATTCATCAAAGAATGCTGTTCCCCTGGCTCTTCCACAGCTGGCTCCTCACCCGTGGGGTCTCATCTCAGATACTGTCTCCCCACAGAAGCCTTCCCTACCGACTTTTTTTTTTTTTTAATATGTGGTCTTGCTCTGTTGCCCAGGCTGAAGTGCAGTGGAGCAATATCGGCTCACTGCAGCCTTTGCCTCCCAGGTTCCAGCGATTCTCCTGCCTCAGACTCCCGGGTAGCTGGGGATTACAGGCTCACGATACCATGCCCGACTAATTTGTGTATTTTTAGTAGAGACGGGGTTTCACCATGTTGGCCAGGCTGGTCTCGAACGCCTGACCTCTGGTCATCCACCCACCTTGGCCTCTCAAAATGCTAGGATTACAGGTGCCCTGCCCGCTACTGACTCTTTCTAAGGTAGAAAAAGCTCCCTGCTTTCTAGTCTGTCTCCATCAAATCACCCTTCATAGTACCTAATGCAATCTGCATCTTGTGGATTGTTCAGTTATTTATACATCTTCTCCTACAAGGTTCGTAAAACAGAGGACTTGTGTTCTCCACTGTATTCCCAGTGCCTTGACCAATAAATATTTGCTGAATGTTGAATTAAAGAAGATCTAAAAAAATAATAAAGGCTTTCATATTTTACTCTAAGGAATAGGATGCAGGTTAGTCATTAGAGGGGGTAATGAGAGAGGTGGATTGGGACTTTCTCAAAGAATAAAATTAAGGGTTCTAAGTATCTTCCCATGAACCATGGCAGCTCTTAGTCATATGGCCAAAGGCTTATGTATCTTTGGTATGTAAATATGTTATTAAGTGTATGGAATCCCCAAGAAAATTAACACTACTGTGAACACCTCCCACAGACAGCACTGATTAAGATCCAAGAGTTGTATCTGTTGGTAAGAAAACCCCAACACATTTCTTATGGATTGAATTATGTTCCCCTTCCCCTATCCATATATTGAAGTTCAAACCCCAGTACCTCAGAATGTGACCTTATTTAGAGACAGGGTCTTTACATAGGTAATCAAATTAAAATGAAGTCATTAGGGTGGGTCTAATGCAATATGGCTGGCGTCCTTATAAGGTTAGGAGAAATGAGTGACTGCTATGGGTACAGGGTTTCTTTTGGGGAGGGTGACATGTTCTCTAATTAGATAATGGTGATGGTGGTACAGCTCTGTAAATAACTAAATCTATCTAATTATACGCTTTTAAAAGTTTTTTTTTAAGAGACAAGGTCTCACTCTGTCACTCAGGCTGCAGTGCAGTGGTGTGATCATAGCTCATTGCAGCTTCAAATTCCCAAGCTCAAGCAATCAGCTAGGACTACAGACAGGCACGCACCACTACACATGGAGAATTAAACACTTTTTTTTGTAGAGATAGGGTCTTACTGTATAGTTCAGGCTAGTCTCAAGCTCTTGGCCTCAAGTGATCCTCCTGCCTCAACCTCCTGAAGTGCTGGGATTACAGACATGAGCCACTGCACTAAGTCTCAAATTGTACCTTTTAAAAGGTAAACTCTATGGTATGTGAATTATATCTCAATAAAGCTGTTATTAATAAAGAGAAGAGCAGCCTTGGAGGCCAAGGAAGCCAATGAGATGTATGTAAACTCTGGATGAAGGTATCAAAGAAATATTCTACTACATTTTAGATATTAGATATTATACATTTCATATTTATAAAAACACATTATAAACACTACAAGAAAAGTACAGCCTTCTACTACCTCTGTTGATTATGTTGTCCTAAGAGAATCTTAATTCACTTCAAAATATTTAACTCCTCTAGTTCCTGGATACTCAGTTAATAAAAAGCTATCTAAACTTGCTGCTGATAGAAACCCCAGGGGCTGGTCCTGCTTGAAAAAAGGGAAAAAGCTATAAAACCCAACAAGGGCCTATATTCAAGGCCAGAGAGAAAAACAAAAATCTAGATTTAGTAGAAATGTTATCCTCCTACATTCTTTTAGGAGCAGCTTATCAGGATTTTCTATAAAAAATTAGGCAAAGTGAACAAATTATAAAGACACTGCTTTAGTAAAATAACCAACAACACTGAAACAAATCCTTACCTTCACACACTGTTTAACATAAACACATTATCTCATTTTTCATTTCAACAGTACTTGTATGAGGCATAAATTTTTATACCCATTTTAAAGAAAAGGAAACTGAGGCACAAACAACGTCACCCCGTTAATGAGTACCAGAGTCAGATTCCAAGCTCCATGAGCTTTTGCTATGTCACGCTGAGATCTGCTTTTTCCCTTCATCTCTCTTGGTCACCTGTCTTTCACAGGTCTGAGTCTGCTTTAGCTCATGTTATTTTGTAACATGAACTTAGCCCCGAATAAATTTTAAAATTCCCCTTTAATTTTTCTGGTTTGTGGCATTCATTCTATAAGTCTCCATAAGAAACACTTACTCAAAGTATGTATTAAATGTTTTTGAACAAACAAATCAATCTAGCCAGGCCTCTCTGGTTGAATCTTTCATGAATAATGAAAGAAAATAGTCAAATACAAACATTTTTACAAGGATAGAGATTCCATTCCCAGTTGCTGAAAAAAGGTTTTAGAACTGAATCAGATTTGAGCCCACCCAGGGACGCTATGGTTTTGGCCGGGCGCGGTGGCTCAAGCCTGTAATCCCAGCACTTTGGGAGGCCGAGACGGGTGGATCACGAGGTCAGGAGATCGAGACCATCCTGGCTAACACGGTGAAACCACGTCTCTACTAAAAAAATACAAAAAAACTAGCCAGGCGAGGTGGTGGGCGCCTGTAGTCCCAGTTACTCGGGAGGCTGAGGCAGGAGAATGGCGTGAACCCGGGAGGCGGAGCTTGCAGTGAGCTGAGATCCGGCCACTGCACTCCAGCCTGGGCGACAGAGCGAGACTCCGTCTCAAAAAAAATAAATAAATAAAAATAAAAATAAAAAAGAACTGAATCAGAAATCCTGTTACTGAGCTGGCTCTGTGAAGTGACTTCCTGAACTGTCCAACTCCTACTTCCCAGACAAGCAAACGGCGCCTGGATTCTCCAGATGGGAAACCTGCAGGCGAGATCTTTAGCTCTACCTATTGCCTGAATCCTCACCTCTCACAAACATTCTGGTATTTCCCTGCAACTATTTTCCTATAACTAAGCATCATTTTCCTTCTTTCTTTCTCCCTCTCCTCTACCTTTCCTTCTTCTCCTCCCTTCCCTACTGTTGGCATTTACTTCCCATATTCTTTTTTTTTTTTTTTTTTTTTTTTTTGAGACGGAGTCTTGCTCTGTCACCCAGGCTGGAGTGCAGTGGCCGGATCTCAGCTCACTGCAAGCTCCGCCTCCCAGGTTTACGCCATTCTCCTGCCTCAGCCTCCCGAGTAGCTGGGACTACAGGCGCCCGCCACCTCGCCTGGCTAGTTTTTTGTATTTTTTTTTAGTAGAGACGGGGTTTCACCGTGCTAGCCAGGATGGTCTCGATCTCCTGACCTCGTGATCCGCCCGTCTCGGCCTCCCAAAGTGCTGGGATTACAGGCTTGAGCCACCGCGCCCGGCCAACTTCCCATATTCTTGTGAGACATGTTTTTTCACTGGCCTCAGAATAACTACAGGAAGCAACTACAACACAAACTAGTGAAATAACTTCATACAGCATCACCCATCAAATTAGTGGAAGATCCAGGAATTTATGAAATGCTGCCCTATTTACACTTTTCCCTAAGACCAAAGCACCAAACACTAACCATGCAGACAGGCACTGCTCCCATGAGAACATCAGCACTGAGGGATGATATCAGAGAAGTTCTTTTTTCTCTGGTAACTGAAGAGTTGGTTGTTTTATTTTCAATATACAAGAAGGGCTGAGGAACAATAGTAAATCCAAGTCTTAATTTTCTAAAATAAGTGGATTTATAGACCAGGGTATTATTAACCTTCCTGCATTTGTTTAAAAGGTATGTTCTCTGTATTTAAATTAGATTTCCATCTATTCTGCCTCAACCTCCTTCCTTGAAATTATTTTACAGTCTTGACTTTGGTTAATACTTCCACGACACCACCTTAGAAAGGTACAAATAAAGAATGTTTACTAAATGTGGAAATAAAACAAATTTTCAATACAGATACACATTTCTTTTCATATTTAAACAATACAAAAAATGTACATTCACAAATGCAACATCAATAAAACTCAATTGTTCTAGAAATTTTCCCTAAGCTTAAAAAGTTTAAAGACAGTACCTTTTAATATTTTAACTAAACATAATTTTGCCAGTGATAGACTTTCTGTAGGTAAAGTAATCATGAACTTTCAGAGCTATAAAAATGTCAGAAGTCATTAAGCACAACCCCTTCATTTTAAAAATGAGAAAACTCCCAAGTTAAGTGATTGTTGAAGTCTGTTAACCACAAGCATGCATCTTGGCTCCTGACCCCTAGTTCAGTAATACCAAAGTTCTTGTAGATAGAAATACTGAACTTTGTTAAAAACAAAGGCATACAAAATTAGAATTGCTCTTATCATCTATATGACTGACATTACACAGAAGCTCTATTTCAACTTTTTGGTTTTTTCGAGACAGGCTCTCACCCTGTCGCCCAGGCTGGAGGGCAGTGGCATGACTGATCACAGCTCACTGCAGCCTTGACATCCCGGGCTCAAGTGATCCCCCCACCTCAGCCTCCCAAGTAGCTGGGACCACAGGCAGGTGCCACCATGCCTGGCTAATTTTTAAAAAACTTTTGTAGAGATGAGGTCTCCTTATGTTGCCCAAATTGGTCTAAAGTGCTTCTCCCGCCTCGGCCTCCCAAAGTGCTGGGGTCACAGGCATGAGCCTCCATGCCCGGCCTATTTCAACTTTTAGTATTTTACATCTTAAATTCTTAATTTATGACTCACCCTGCTGAGTTGATCCAATAGCCTTTGGTTCTGTTCCGACAGTTCCTGGACAGCCCGTGTTTTTTCTCGATCTGCTTCCCGCAGATGAACCTGCTGCCTCTCCAACTCATCCTGCAGCTGCTTCACATCACTCTCCAGCTCTGACACGCGGCCTTCCCACTCCCCTTCTCGGTTCTCAAATCGTCTTCTCAATTCATGTTTCTCTTGTTCTAAGTGCTGGGTGAAAAGTAAAGAGGATTTAAACATTGATAAAAATTCCACAGCTTTTTATTTTAATCTCCACGCCCTCCTAACTTCTTTTTCCGAGTTAGTCGACACAATAAAACACCCTACCACGTAGGACAAGTTACCCAATTCACAGCTACAAAGATATTCCTTCTTCCACATCAGGGAAGAAGCTGGCTTCACAAAGAGAACGCCATTCTTACTGAAAATACTTAAAAGTTATTATGTTTATTGTTATCCTTAGGCATGAGGTTCTAGACTAGGGAGTTCACTTGAAATTTGCCAGTCATCTAATCAACTGGTGAACTACACATTTAAACAACTAAAAATGAGTCCCATAACTAAAATCCTTTTTGATTTTTTTGAGGTGGAGTCTTGCTCTGTCCTCCAGGCCGGAGTGCAGTGGTAAGATCTTGGCTCGCTGCAACCTCTGCCTCTTGGGTTCAAGCAATTCTCCTGCCTCAGCCTCTCAAGCAGCTGGAATTACAGGAACGCACCATGACACCAGGCTACTTTTTGTAATTTTTTTTTTTTTTTGAGATGGTGTCTCGCTCTGTGGCCCAGGCTGGAGTGCAGTAGCCGGATCTCAGCTCACTGCAAGCTCCGCCTCCCGGGTTCACGCCATTCTCCTGCCTCAGCCTCCCGAGTAGCTGGGACTACTTTTTGTATTTTTAGTAGAGATGGGGTTTTACAATGCTGCCCAGGTTGGTCTCCATTTCTTGACCTCGTGATCCCCCCGGCCCGGCCTCCCAAAGTGCTGAGATTACAGGTGTGAGCCATCGTGCCCCGCACCCTCCCTACTTTTTATAAGGAGGCTTCCTATTATCCATGGAGTCACCTATTATCCATGGCATAATACCAGGCTCTTACTATCACAGAATTTTTCAGAGATAAAAAGAACTCCAGATATCTTTTCAATTAACCATCTCTTCTTACAAATGAAGCAACAGAAGAGGTTAAGTGACAATCTCAAGGTCAGTACTAGTAAATGGCAAAGCAGGGCTTGTCTAAGTCAGTTGACTCTGTCTGGTTCTCTAAGTCACAGCTCAATAAATACGTGCTGCTATATAGAGTAATGTAATTCAAAATCATTAGGGCAAGTTCAGGTTCAGGGCTACTTTAAATCATGGCCCATTAAGCCTTGCATTATTTATTTCTGGTACATTCATTCATTCTTGAGCACCTACTATGGGCCAAGCACTGTCCTAGGGACATTCTTTTTTTTTTTTTTGAGATGGAGTCTCTCGCTCTGTAGCCCAGGTTGGAGTGCAGTGGTGCGATCTACGCTCACTGCAAGCTCCGCCGCCTCCCAGGTTCACGCCATTCTCCTGCCTCAGCCTCCCTAGAAGCTGGGATTACAGGCGCCCACCACCACGCCCGGCTAATTTTTTTGTATTTTTAGTAGAGACAGGGTTTCACCGTATTCGCCAGGATGGTCTCGATCTCCTGACCTCGTGATCCGCCCGCCTCGGCCTCCCAAAGTGCTGGGATTACAGGTGTAAGCCACCGCACTCGGCCCCTAGGGACGTTCTAATAAGCAAAACAGACATGGTCCTTGCCTGTACACAGTTTTCATTCTAGTGGGAGAGACTGATAAAACAAATTGCATATGAAAGATGGTATGCAGGAAAAGTACATATGGTCTAATGTAGCAGCTCAATAAAACAAGATTCCTTTGGATTGAGGGAAATAAAAACATCTTTTTGTGGCCGGGCGCAGTGGCTCACGCCTGTAGTCCCAGCACTTTGGGAGGCTGAGGCAGGCGGATCATGAGGTCACAGGATCGAGACCATCCTCGCTAACACGGTGAAACCTCATCTCCACTAAAAATACAAAAAACAAAATTAGCCAGGCTTGGTGGCAGGCACCTGTAGTCCCAGCAACTCAGGAGACTGAGGCGGGAAAATGGCACGAACCTGGGAAGCAGGGCTTGCAGTGAGCTGAGATCGCACCACTGCACTCTAGCCTGGGCGACAGAGCAAGACTCTATCTCAAAAAAAACAAAAAAACAAAAAAAAACTTTGTTTCTGAGATAAATATGCACGCCTCTGAAAAGAGTATGTTCTCCTACTTAAAAAGCACAGTATGTACAACAGCCAAATCTATACATCAAAGACTCTAGGAAATCTAAGTGAAAGTAATGGTCCTGAACTTTTGGTGCTCTCAGAAACATTCTCGTGTAACTATTCAAAATACACCCTGGACCCCAATTCCTGAGATTGTGATTCAATAAATAATAGACTGAAGTCTAAGGCATCTACGCATGTGTGTGTGTGTATATCTGTATATGTATATATACTGAGTTCTACAGGAAATTCTGACACACTGAAGGTTGACATCAAGCACTGAGATTGTTTGAATGAGCTAAAATGCACATATGAATCTTCTCTTTCAGACTATTCAGTCATCTCCTTATCTTGAGAGGCTATACTCTCACTCTACTGAAGTTCTCACCATTCAAAATATCTTTCAGAATGCTTCTTTTGGAAAGCCATAAGGGACAGCTTACAGTCATGCAAGAAAATAAGTTCCATTACTTCACATCTGGGGTGTGTCTAAAAAATGATATTAGCCTCCTTCATCCTGCCATCTTATTCTCCTTACTTTGTTGAGTGACTTTTGAATCATTCTGAAAGTCATTAACCCCAAAAAGATGAAAATTTGCCATGACTGAGAGCAGTCAAAAGAATGTGCCAAAAGATAAAAACAGCAATCGAAAATTAACATTCTGAGCACACTGGCAAAGGCGGTTTTCACTGAAAACTCCCAAGTTGACAACTTTAAGGGGACAACTCATTTGGAAATAGCCACTCGAATGTACCTGTTGAAAAAGACACATTATATTCTATACAGTCTGTTTGGAGCAATGTGGGAAAAGAAATGACAAGGGAGGGCCTTCTCATCAGTATGAGAATTTTTTGCTCTATGCATCCCTTGTAGTGCTTAACTTCCAAAAATGAGAATGTTTTAGTCACTGTAGAAACTTCAGCAAGATGGAACGCAGGAACAAATGCTAATTGCAATCCTAAAATTGTGATACTTGGTTTTATTCAATTTTTTCAAAACGAAAAAGATTGAGCAGAAGGCAATGGCAAGAACTCAGTAATCACAGTGTTACTGAGAGGCCAGATAAATTAGGCTTGTGTTCTAAAAGAACAGAGTGATTTAAAAATATTCAGCAAACAGCTGTTAGTGAAGAGCCCAACCAAGCAACTAAAACAATCCAATCCACTTGGGGGCAGGGCTGAGGACAGGTGGTGCTGATCAGTCTATTCAGTCCTTGTATTTCTTTGGACATGAGACAAACTTCCTATTTCGTGTTTCCCAATCCTGTGAAAATTCCAGGCTTTCCTATTAATAAACATACAGAATTTACCACTTTGTACAGAATTTAGCATCTGCCCCGAGAAAAGTTTCTCCTAGAATTATATTTTCAATTAAGTGCTAAATTAACCAGAAAACTCTAGGGAGACTGTCAGGAAGTGTGAAGGTCAAGTTCTGCTTATGCTCTTCTTCGTTTCTCAGGGTTATATAGTATTTTAGAAAGTTAATATCAAAGTTGTCAAGGTTATCAAAAATAAGGTTAAGAAACTGCCAGTTACAGCTAAGAGGAGCCTAAAGTGACACAAAATCTAAATGTAATATGGTATCCTGGAACAGAAAAAGGTATTAGATAAATGCTAAGATAATCTGAATAAATTGAAGACTTTAGTTAGTAATCACATGAGTACTGGTTCAATAATTATGGCAAAGGTACCATACTATTGTAAGATGTTAGTAAGAGGAAGCTGGGTGCAGGGTATATGCAAACTCTCTGTACTATCTTTACAGCTCTTCTGGAAACCTAAAACCATTTTAAAAAATAGTCTATGGCTGGGCGCAGTGGTTCATGCCTGTAATCCCAGCATTTTGGGAGGCCCAGGTGGGCGGATCATGAGCTCAGGAGTTTAAGACCAGTCCGACCAATATGGTGAAACCCTGTCTCTACCAAAAATACAACAATTAGCCAGGCATGGTGCACACCTATAGTCCCAGCTACTCGGGAGGCTGAGGCAGGAGAATCGCTTGAACCTGGGAGGCAGAGGTTGCAGTGAGCCAAGATGGTGCCACTGCACTCCAGC